TCGTCCCCGATTGAGGCGAAGGGGAAGGGACCTCTCCCGATCCGGCCACACGCCGGTCCGCCTCTGCGGTCGCCTCGGTGCGAGGGGTGCCCCGCGGGGTCCTGCGGACAACTCGCCAGAGGGAGGATGAGGGGGAAAAAGCGCCCCAAGTGCGTACTGTTTGCAGTGGGGTTTGCCCTCCGTAAGCCGTGAGCGATTTCTGAGGGATTTCCAAAGACTGTGTCTTCAGAATTTTGTTGGGTTTGGGTGTTTGGTTTTTTTTCTTTAGGTCAGTTTTCATGGGGCGCTCTGAGGTTCTATTGCTTGCGCTCTCCTGCTCCGCCTGAGCAACACTGAGAATAGGAGGGTTGCCCCTTCTCAAGTGAGTAAGTAGACCTCTCTGCAGCCCCAGAAGACTTGGAAATGCAGGTGAATTTTCTTCTCTTACTCTTCAGTATCAACAACCCCAAAAGGTAGCCAGCTAAACAGGTGGAACTGATCTGCGTAGTCCTTCACCGTTTTGTGGCACCCTAAGCTGTGTGTTTGTGGCAAAAAATACCTTCTGTCTTTCACAGGACCCCATCCCTCGTGTGATGCCTGAAGTGGTGTAAGACGGAGGAGTGCCATTGGAAGATTAATGTCCGCGAGGCGCAGCATGTAGCCCCCAGCCCCACCTCACCATGCTGGACCATGTATTCCCTGTGCATGAGGTGAGTGGTCCCAGACCTGCAGCTTGAAACTTTCAGGTCTGTATTTCCCCACAGGTGCAGGTGAATTCACACCGGTACCTAGGGAAGATACAGTTTTCGGAAGGTAAGGATTTAGCCTGGTGGTCCTGACCTTCTCTGTGTGGAACTGTGCCTGCTGGGAATTAGGAGTCTCCAAATTTTAAAACAAGCAAACAAACAAAAAATCCTTCCTGACATAAACTGCGGTGTGGTAACATTACTGAGTACTGTTAGATGTCTGCCACGTTCCAGTGATAGCTTTTCAGTAGAGATTATTTTATTATGGAAAGTCAGTTAAGTGCTTTGTGTTTCTTCTTGGCTAAGATCATAGAAAGAACATGAAATCCTATAAACCAGGCTTCTTAGTTGACAACAACTATAGCCTTTTAACGTATAACAAAAGAAAATAAGAAACTTCATTTCTGATCAGAATAAAAAGAATGTAAGAAAATGTTAAAAAAAAAGAACACTTCTTACATCTCAGCTTTGTATATAACTTTTTTCCATATGTGTTATCAATAGGTATAAATATCAGAACTTAATTAAAAGTATAATAATAATGTGAGAAGAATATCCAGACACAGTCTGTTAACTGTTTTCTATTAGAATGGTAATTAACAATGTGAATATTGAAGTGAAACCGAAGAACACTTAACCTCTTCTGCATCTGAGCTATATGAAGATATTTTTTTTTTCTAGTTACAGTTGTTGATGGCCAACTATCGCTATGTAACATGTCTAGCAAGCCTCAGTAGAGAGAGGCAAAGACCCTGTCCGTCATGATTTGTGTTTATTGGCTTAGCTTCAGACACAGGTAAATTGCACTGGTATAAATCATATTTTGTAGTTCTCTTGCTTGCACGCTGTGAAATTCTGCGCCATTACAATTATATCAGAAACTGTTGCTCATCTCTGAATTCCCAACATAGGCAAGTGGCAGTACATTTTTCTATAGACTCTGAAGTGACTTCATCAGTTTGTATTCCATTCTCTTCTCTAATTTTCATACAGCTTACATCACTATATGATCTGAGAGCCTTCCAAAAATACATTATGGAATCATAGAATCATAGAATGATTTGGGTTGGAAGGGATCTTAAAGATTACCTAGTTCCAACCCCCCCTGCTGTGGACAGGGACACCTTAGGTTGCTCAAAGCCTCATCTAACCTGGCCTTGAAGAACACTGCGGCTGTCACTTCTGTCACATGTGGTTCATTGTTTCCTCTTTCCTAAAGTATTGTTCAGGTTGGATATCTTTGGTTTCTGTATTGAAATAAATAGGTGTAGGAGCCTTCCATTTCAAATGCAACATAATAAAATCTTTGGTGCTTTTTCTCCATGTTCTGGATCCAGTCTCTGGGAAAGCTTTGTACTTACATGGACAAGCAGAAATAAAACTATTTCCTAAGCCCCCAGTGCTGGGATTTTCAGGAAATATTTAACTGGGGTTTTTTTTTAATAACATATGTCAGAAAGAAGAGACAATGTTGTCAGAATTTGAAAGAAAAATACTAGAAGACTGCCAGCCTTTTCTGCTAAATGCAATGTTCTCTCACATGACCATACAGGTTAAAAAAAAAAAAAAAGTGTTGGTAAGCATTCTTCTTGCTCTCAGATTCCTTTGTTTGAATTAATATTGAAAATATGTAACACCTAAGGAAATTATCATGACCTATACTGGTAACATTTTCCTCTGAAAATAACGTGTTGCTGTGTTAATAACGCCAGGGTGCTGCAATCTCTTCAAAACGCATACACTATTGGCCTGAGTCATGCTGAAGTAGCATCAGTGAAGCATCTTCTTCTACTTCAATAGGAACCTTCCGCAGCTTGGAATGGTATAGACAGTACTTAGTCAAACAGATTGAACTTCATCAAGTTACCATTCTGTCAGACATGTTAGCTTAGCCTGCAGGCTGCTGTGCCGAGACTGTTCGAATGTCACAGACCAAAGTGGCCTGGCCAGACTCAGTGGGGCGCAGTAAGTCGGGGTCTGTTTGTACGTGCTGCTTGAGCAGCTTAATTCTGTGGAATGTTTGTAGTCTCCTCCATGCCTCAAAAGCAACATGAAATAAAGCGCAAAAAAATAGTTTTGACTGGATTTTCAACAAGTGGGCAGTAGAGGGGAGGAGTCAACTGGAAAGAAAATGGGAGATAATGAACAAGGCGGTGACTTTCTGTAGACGCTCTTGGAAATTAAGATGTTTGAATAATGTTTGATGCAATACAGAAGAGGGAACTAGCAGAATGCTTCAAACAGAGAAATTATGTGGTCGGAGTAATGATCTACATAAACTATATTGGGTTGTGGTTTCAGAGTTGCTAATTCCAGGGCTGTGCACAGCCCAGTCTCCCAGTAGTACTGAATTGATCTGGATCAGGTATGGCCGTGGTGTCACATTGTTCTCACACTAGCTTCTGCCCATGCTTACAGAGGTTTTTGTTCTGCCTCTGGAAGGATTGACAGTACCTGATCTGGTATTACTGTCTGCTGGTACAACATTATGCCTTCAACATTTTTTCTGAACAAATTTGAATTGGCAGAATGAGTTAAATTGCATTAGTGGTTTCCGTTTGATGGCTGCGGCATGTTTGATCATTAATAGGAGGCCTACAGTCAGCTTTACTGTATTGTCAGATCATGGCAGTTACAGCAGTTAATGGCTGTTGTGTTACAAGCTGCGCTGGTTAATGCTGGAGGGAGAGGTATTGGGGCAGTCTAGGCATAGAAGCAAAAGACCTAAACAAGGGTTGCATGGATGGATCAATGGACTTTGTCTTAGAGATGCCATATAGAAGAACTATAAAATTTAGATGTACCCTGGGTGCTAGGATCTACAAAGAGGTTTCAGCTAGAGTTGACAGCTGATATACATGCTTGTGTGGTAGACTGGTGATGTTATCCACAGATAAGCACAGAGAAGATAACAAGAGGCCTTTCAGGGAAGAGGAATAACCATGTTCTAGCTCTTCTGAGCTTTAACTTCCCGCTAGTCATGCAGAGAAGAGAGGAAAAGGCTATGATTTGAGTTTGGATGGAGGGAGATAGTTCTGGAGAAAGGAGCAGATCTGTAAATCATCCACAGAGAGATGTTAGTTGTATTTGTGTTTCAGATGAGAGAACTCAGCAATAATGGGGGAGAATAAAAGGAGAAGACCAAGGATGCAGCTCTGTGGGAGTCTGTCAAAGAACACTTGGAAGGGAGGCTTAAATAGGTAAAAGGAAAAGATTTTAAGTGAAGCATGGTTGGTTGTGTCGGGTCAGAGAGGATGAGGTTTAAATACTTTTTTTTTTTTTTTTTTGAGCTCTGTTGAAGCTTTGAATGGCTTTGGTTAATCCAGAGTGGAAATGGAGAAGTTTGGACACTGATAGATCGATGTCTATGGAGTGAGTTGGGGCCCGGGTAGAGGGGGCTGTGCTTTTATTAGAGAAGAAAGTGGGGCTGAGTCAAGGCTTTTATTAATTTGTTTCTACTCATTTCAACTATTCATTCATTTATAGATTTTTTTATTTTTGAGGGGAAATATAACAGAAGGCAGCTAAACCAAAAAGACTATGTCATATTTTAACCATATCATTTTTTAAAAATAACTTTTTTGTGGAATGTATTCCTTCTGGTGGCAAGTAGGTGGCTTCTGGGCTTTTCTTCTTTTGCTTAATAATTTCACAGACCAGAAGGGTGGGAAGAACAAGCGTTGTCTCCCCCTGGGGCTGTTAAGCTAAAGATGAAGCTTTACCCTGCAGATGAGCCAGTCTAATGACTTGTGGCCACTGAAAGGTGGCTTTCTTTTTTGTGGCTATGTGTTCTGTCCTTTTCTTTGTGCTGATGCTGTTACTCATTGAACCTGCTTGTCTGCAGTTTTACTGAGTTTATTTGGCTCATGGAAGTGTCCCAATGAGTGTCAAAATCAGCACAGGCGAGTCAGGAGTGCCCAGGTGGGAGTGGACTTTTGGGAGATGGGGGATGTCACCTTCTCAGCAGCCATAAACTGTGAGGCCAACTTAGTGTGCGTTATGGAACTGAACCACTGGGGTAAGTTCAGCAGCTCTTCAAGAAACGGAACTGTGAAATTCTTCTATACCTACATAAGCAATGAATGATTTGGCAGTTAATGAAGAAATATGTTGATGATGGTGAATGTTAATATAACTCATCCTCATGAGATCAATCTGGCAGCTGACACCTCTGAGAGCAGTTTTTTCAAATTCTTTGCAAAACCTGCAAAGTCTGGCAGATCCCTGCAGTGAGTTACCGCTGATTCATCTTTTGGCTTAGGATGTCGTTTCCCTGAGATCTGGCTCTTTCGTGAGCTAGTTCAGGGAGTTAAACCAGAAGAAGACTCTATTTTTTCACTGTGCTAGCACTCCGCTCACTTAATTCCTTGAATCAAACTGGCACCAGTGTTTGCAGAAGAGAGGCAGTAGAATCAGGATAATTCTGGGCAGTTTACCTGGACTTCAGTAAAGCCTTTAACAGTTTCCTACAGCATTCTCCTGGAGAAATGGGCTGCTCATGACTTGGGTGGGCAGACACTTTGGGTGAAAAAACTGGCTGGATGGTTGGGCCCAAAGAGTTGTGGTGAATGGAGTTAAATCCAGTTGGTGGCCAGTAACAAGCAGTGTCCCCCAGGGCTCAGTACTGGGGCCAGTTCTCTTTGATATCTCTATTAATGATCCAGATGAGGAGATCGAGGGCACCCTCAGTACATTTGCAGACTACACCACATTGGGTGGAAGTGTTGATCTGATTGAGGGTAGGAAGGCTCTACAGAGGGACCTGGACAGGCTGGATTGATGAACCTCATACAGTTGGCCTTGGCCCAACAAGTCTCAGTGGCAGGTCCTGCACTTGGGTTGCAATAACCCCATGCAACGCTAAAGGCTTGGGGAAGAGTGGCTGGAAAGCTGCCTGGCAGAAAAGGACCTGGGGGTGTTGGTTGACAGCTGGCTGAATATGAGCCAGCAGTGTGCCCAGGTGGCCAAGAAGGCCAACAGCATCCTGGCTTGTATCAGGAATTGTGTGGCCAGCAGGACTAGGGAAGTGATTGTCCCCCTGTACTCAGCACTGGTAAGGCTGCACCTTGAATACTGGGTTCAGTTTTGGGCCCCTCACTACAATGTAGGATGTTGAGGCACTGGAGCCTGTCCAGAGAGGGACAACGAAGCTGGTGAGGGGTCTGGAGCACAAGTCTTGTGAGGAGCATCTGAGGGAACTGGGGTTGTTTAGCCTGGAGAAGAGGAGGCTGAGGGGAGACCTTATCGCTCTCTACAACTGCCTGACAGGAGGCTGTAGCGAGGGGGGTGTTTGTCTCTTCTCCCAAGTACAAGTGATAGGACGAGAGGAAATGGCCTCAAGTTGTGCCAGGGGAAGTTTAAAAGTTAGACATTAGGAGAAATTTCTTCACTGAAAGGGTTGTCAAGCATTGGAAGAGGCTGCCCAGGGAATTGGTCAAGTCATCATCCCGGGAGGTATTTAAAAGATGGGTGATGTGGCTGGTACTTAGGGACATGGTTTAGTGGTGGACTTGGCAGTATTAGGTTTATGGTTGGACTCAATCTTAAAGTTCTTTTCCAGCCTAAATGATTTTAAGAATGCCTACAGCTAGAAGGGGGAAGCAGAATTGCCTGTTCAACAGGAGCTAAACCTTCTATCCACCCTGTTGCAGTGTGAAACTCTACCTTGAGGATATGGCTTCACAATTGATACCATTCTGACTCCTTGGTGAAAGAAGCAGTCCTACTGCCTCCCTGGTATCAGCTCTGTTGAAACAAACCTTGCTCAAAATTACTTGTTTGAATATGTAGCCATGG